CGTTTTGAACTTAAGGGGTTCGGGGGTTACGGGGTTCGGAGGTCACGGGGTTCGGGGGTTACGGGATTCGGGGGATTTACGAGGTTCGGGGGTTACGGGTTCGGGGGTTACGGGGTTCGGGGGTTACGGGGTTCGGGGCATAAGGGTTTGGAGCTTACAGGGTTCGAGATTTAGTGTAGTTCCATGAAGAACACTCAGTCATAGCCCAGACAGGTCACTCATCTGATACACTTTCAGCCGTCAGTCACACCTTAAGGCTGTAAACATTGGTATCTCAAGCATCTTAGGTACACACACACACACACACATGACTCTCTCTCTCTCTCTCTCTCTCTCTCTCTCTCTCTCTCTCTCAGTAACGGTGTGTTTGTCTTTCTGTTCATACAAATCTAATGTCCTATTATTATAAGTGCACCTCCCCCCAGGGCGATATGCAACAGTAAGTGCCTTTGTATATCTGTCTGTCTGTCTGTCTGTCTGTCTGTACATACGGATCTAATGTAGTAATTATAAGTTTCCCTCCCTCCCCCCCCCTCTTCCTCCTCCTCCCACACGCAAAAAAATATATAACACCGGTATAACAGTAACGCCAAACCCACACTCAAGAATAACTACCGATCACTCAAAAAATCATGTCAACTTAAAAGCACTTGCGGATGGATATATCTGATGGTAATTGCAAACCGGTCTGGATAATGTGAGTATTAATCGGCCCACCGTCTCCTAGCCATCATTCTCAGCTAAAAAGCGATTTTATGTCCGACGTTGCGCATACCACAGCTCCCGGCGGGGCCTTTGAAGGGAAGAGGAGGGGGAGAGAGATTGAGGGGTTGCGGGGGGTGGAGAGGTTTAAGGGGGTAGAAGGGGGGGGGGGAAGGGAGGGAGAGGTTTTAAAGGGGAGAAGGGAGAGGGATGAAGGATTGGGTGGAGAGAAAGATAGAGAGGATGAGGAGGGGGAGGATGGATGTTTTAGAAGAAAGGAAAGAGAGGATGGGAGGGTGCGAAAGGAGGAGAAAGGGGATAGTCTAAGGGAAAAGGTGGGTACATGGGAGGGGGGATTATGAAGAGGGACGGGTGAAGTGAAGAGGGATTGAGAAACAGGATGGCACAAATGAAGAGCGAAGGGGAGACTGACGGAAATGAAGCATGAAGAGGAATCAAACTGACGCACTAGGAGAAAGGATGTGAAAGGAGAGAAAGGTGAGGGATGATGAAGACAGTAAGTAAAGAGGAGAGAGCAAGAGGGGAAAGACATCTAATAGGGGAGTGAATAAGCAAGAGAGAGAAGAATGATTAATCAATAGAGAGGACACGAGAAGAGGATAATGGATGAATGAAGAATGAAGGAGAAGAGACTCAGTACATGGAAAGAAGAAAGGGGGAGGGGGAGGAGGGGTGATGATGCCCGAATGAGAGAGAAAATGGAGGGCTTTGTGGAATGAAAGATAATGGTAAACGAATGATAGAGAGAAAGAAGAAACAACTGAAGAATGAATAAGGATAAGATTGATAAAGAGATGGATGCTGAGTTGTATGGATAAATGGCAGATAAATAACATGAGGTAGAAGAGGATGATAAAATGGATAAGTAAATACAAAGAAACATGATAAAAGATGGATATGTGAGACGGACAAGAAGTAAACGTAGAGAGGAATGGAAAAAAAAATAGTGGGTAAGAAATAAAACTGAAAAGGAGAGAAGAAGAAGAAGATAGTGTCACTCACAAGGAAAAGGATAACAGGAACTGAAGTAAACAGAAAACACAAACACAAAACACATCAATGCAATATTCCTCACTTCAGGTTCTGTAAGAGTTGAAAAAAAAATAAATCGAAAAGAAATTGCTGAAACACATGACCCCCAATATTAATCGAAAGGGCCTCGTGACCAGACCAGGAAAAATATACACGAAAGAAAGTTGAACGAGAAGTATCAGCGAAAACATGTTACATTTTACGTTGTGAAGGAATAAACATTTGTCCATTTTCTATGTCCATTGGAAAAAAAACACCATTTCCCGATTCTAAAAATTATAAAGTATTTTCGTTAACAAATGAACAAAATCTCTATTTCTTATAATCAAACAGAAACCATTTTCCGTTTTAAGGACAAAAAAAACGTTGCATTTATTGTTTTGGAGGAATGTGCCAAAACTTCCCATCCTCTATATGATTATGGAAAACAAAATCTTTATATTTTCTGTGTAAGACTGCAAAAAATTATTAATTTTCTATTTCGAAATAATAAAAGCTGTTTGTATTATATTCTCAAGATATGAAATTTCTCCATGTTTTTATATAAAAACCTTTACTCCACTTTGTCTTAAAAGTAATCAAAACATTCTCCACGTTTTCTCTCACACAAACACACAAGATATTCATCCCATTTTCTGTTTTAATCCTGTAAAACTCTCCCTGAGTTCACAGTTTTAAAAGTCTACCAAACACTCCATTCTATGTTTCATAAGTCGTCAACAAAAATCAAAACTTTCTTTTCTAAATTTTTTTGAAAATCTTTTCTTTTGTTTTCGAAGTTAAAAGTCTGTATAGCTCTCTCTCTCGTTTTTGTGTTTGTAAAGTCTGTACAAACTCCCCATATCGTGTTTGATAAGTTGACCAAACTTTCCCTCTATGTTGTGTGTTAAAAGTCTCCCTAACTCTCCATTTTCTGTTTCAAACGTTTGTAAAAGCTTCCCATTTTCCAGTTTGAAAAGTGAAATATATCCCTATCAATACATTTCATCGATTTCCTTTTCCCAGATAACAAACGCGTACTAAAATAAAATATAAAACTCCAACACGAAGCGCTTTGGCGTGGTGCACCTTTGGCGCGATGAACTTCAAAGGGAAGCTCGCGCTAAGTTAGATTAAAATTTATTCTTTATTTTCCTACACCGAGTGCACACTTTTTTACCACGTACATATATATATATATATATATATATATATATATATATATATATATATATATATATATATATATATATATATATATATATATATATATATATATATATATATATATATTACTTAGGTGTTTAAACGCCGAGGAGTTTTTTAACACCGTTCACTAAGTCTAAGTTCAGATTGTAGAAATTTCCTGAAAAAATCCAAAAATGTTCACGATGTTCTTATTTGGTTATTTATATTGCTCGTGTTCAGTATTGTATTTAGGCTAAGTTAGGTTATGTTCCAAGCCAAGAAAAATATCTCCTCAATACCTTACACTGTGTTCCTCGTACACCATATGGGTCTCACTTGCTACTGTGGCTCTGTGTGTGTGTGTGTGTGTGTGTGTGTGTGTGTATGTATGTATGTGTGTGTGTGTGTGTGTGTGTGTGCGCGCGTGTTCTCCTGCACTGGCCTTAAAGTTCTTCTACAAACACCTTTAACAACAATAAATATAACACTAACGAGAATAAATTGTTCTGCATCCAGCGTTTACAAGACATTCAGAAGACCTGCCTAACTTACAAGACATTCAGAAGACCTCCTTAACTTACAAGACATTCAGAAGACCTCCCTAACTTACAAGACATTCAGAACACCTCCCTAACTTACAAGACATTCAGAAGACTTCCTTAACTTACTCACAGATAAAAACCATAAAAAAATTAAATAAAAAATAGACAATAGGAAAAAACTATTGCACGTTGACATAAAAAAATAACATAAAAAGAGAAGAGGGAGATTGAGAAAAATAAAACAAAATAAATAAGACAAGTAAAGTCACATGAGAAATAAAAATAAACACAAAGTAAATAGCAATCAAGGTCCCGTATCTTATCATCATAAATATCGCAGTGTTTGTGTGGCTTCTCCCTTAGTATACAGCCAAACTACAAATCCTATTGATGTTCGTGTATTACGTATCGTTTGAGGATTTCACCGCCCCCCGGGTGGCTGACTGACACACCCATAACTCAGCTGTCAGTGGGAGACGTCTTGCAAGGTTTACCAGAGAGGAAGGAAAGATAGGAGTTGTGAGAATCTATCAGGGTAGCATAATTTGTCGCTCCGCACGAGATGATGAATGTGGCTGTTGTGTACAATTTCTTTTTGGTATATACGAAAGTGTTTTAAGGTCTATGACGGGTATGAACTTTACATAAATACCAACTCACTCACAAGGCAAGTGCTAGCTCATGAGACAAGTGCCAAATGACACCTGTTTAAGAAATGTGACCTTGACCTTTGACCGAATAATTTTAAAGAGTTCTCAGGTGAATATATAATTATACGCCAGGTAGGAACACATACTCTTGCCGTCCTTGAATAATGTGTCAGACACGTTCAAGGACAGCCAAGGGCAACACACTCACAGACAGCCATGAACGACGGGGTCCAGACAAAAGCCCCCTAGGACAAAAGCCCCCTAGGACAAAAGCCCCCTGGACAACCCCTTAAAGTGAAAAATATATTAGCGTGGCTTAGGTTAGGTTAGGTATTGCAGTGTTACGATCTAATAAGTGCAATATTTCACATGTTATAGAAGTGTTCATAAACTGTAATTAATAAAGAATAAATAATTATTAAAACAATTCTTATTATTGTGTGTCCTAGGAGGCTTTTGTCCTACACTCGTGGATGAAACACTCATACACAACCAAGGCCGATACACTCACAGACAGCCACAGACGACACACTCATACACAACCAAGGCCGATACACTCACAGACAGCCACAGACGACACACTCACAGACAGCCACAGACGAGACACTCACAGACAGCCACAGACGAGACACTCACAGACAGCCACAGACGGCTTACACTGGGCTGGCCTGGGCAAGACACTCTGGAACCAGCCTGGAGCCAGAGACACTCACAGACAGCCTAGACAAGACACTCACTGAACAGCCCCCACACAGACAGAGACACTCACAGACAGCCACAGACAGAGACACTCTGAACAGCCACAGACAGAGACACTCACAGACAGCCACAGACAGAGAACACTTTCTGAACAGCCACAGACAAGACACTCTGAACCTTATTACAGACAGAGACCCTCTGAGGCAGCCCAGACAGAGACACTCACCCAGACAGCCACAGACGAGACACTTTAGACAACCACAGACAGAGACCTCTGGGCAGCCACAAGGACGACACACTCACAAGACAGCCACAGACAGAGACACTCTACAGACAACCACAAGACAGGAACAGACACTCACAGACAACCAGAATAGACACATCAGTCGGGGACGACATACAGACAACCAGGACAGCACAGACAGTCAAAACAGCACACCAAACAGCCAGAGACAAGCTGAACCAGAGCCAATGACGACACACAGGCAGCCAGGACGCCCACAGGTATGGGACGACACAGGTGTGAGGACTGACACGGGCAATAAGATGACACGGCAGCCAAGGACGACACAGGTAGCCAAGGACGACACAGGTAGCCAAGGACGACACGGGCAGCCAAGGACGACACAGGTAGCCAAGGACGACACAGGCAGCCAAGGACGACACAGGTAGCCAAGGACGACACAGGTAGCCAAGGACGACAGTCGCCCTCCTCCCATCATTCTTAATTTACAGTATATCAATTTTTTCTTCCCCAACACGAAAAGACAATAATTCGCATTAAATCTTCAGTAATACTCGCTATGTGTGTGTTCAGGGTCCACTGTGTTATCATCTCGCTCTTCCCAGGCTGGTCCACCGTAAGATAGCTAAAAGCAAACTGGTCCACCATACTATAAAAACGGCATGTAGTATTTACACCTTTAATTCACGTGGTATTATGGTGGGCCAGCTGGTGTCTGTCCCAAGGTGTCATTTCCCAGGGTGCTCTGTGCTAAGGTGTGTCCCTCCCTCCTTCCGTCCTTTTTACTCCCTCCCTTTCCTCTCTCCCTCCCTTATAGTCCTTCCTTACTTCCTTTCCTCCCTCACTACCTCCTTCATTCCCCTCCCTCCCTCCTTCTTCTTCCCTCCCCCCAACTCTTATATTCTCTATCATTTTAAAGTGTCATCGAAATTTTGGGTCGGGTTTTGGGGACTTTTTAATGGTCCTGGATATTTTAGGTCGTGAGTCTGGGGACTTTCGGCCGCCCAGTACGTGACCAGCACCTCCCTAATCTTCACAAATCTCAGGATGGACTCAATGTAACCTAAAAATCCAAAATCCTGCCCAATCTGTTCAAATCTCAGCTGTAGTTGACGAGTACAAAGGTGAGTGAGTGAGTGAGTGAGGAAACATGAAATAAATATCTTCATCTAACCATGATAAGACTCAACCGCCGATAAGACTCAACATCTGTGATAGACTCAACATGAATAGACTCCTCTCATTATGTCTCATCCACAATACGACTCCCTTCTAACTGACCAATCCATAAAACAAGGTTAACCACAAAAGTCATTTATAGTCAATAAACAATACTTGTTGAGACTTGATCATACCCAGAACTCTAATTCGGCCACGAGCAATAACCTAACCTTAACCTAACCTTAACCTAACCTTAACCTAACCTATTCTGTCAAAGTGGTGATGTAACCCACTAGTCCTGAGTACTAACAATAAAACACACCTTCATCAACACAACAAAATATTCTTCCCACCTTCTCACTCTTCCCTTTAAGTCTTCCCTCGCTCTCGGTCATCCAAGAGAGACATTACTTAGTCTAAACATTCCGTGTCTTTTAATATTTTTTGCAGAGTGTCACACAGGATAAGATTTTGCCTCATTAAACTCAAACTGACACTTCACGCCACAGAATCTCCAGACTGGCCTCATTACTCACTAACTAATGCCTTCCTCGTCGTATCTACATAATTTCCTTCTTTTCACTTCTTATTTATTTACCAGGTTAAATCATTTAATTTCTCCACAAGCCATGACACAGTAAATAACTTACACGTATTCATAAGCCATTAGCAGTTGGCCAGCTAGCATTATACGTTTCACAAACAGGCGCAGTTTTATTCCACAACCTGTCGACAGCAAATGCCTTTACCTGTGATTCTGAGAGGCTGGTTTTTAGTTTCCTATAAATATCTCTCCCCGTAGGTGTTAATCTTATCCCATTTTCAATGCTGTACAATAATCTGAGACAACTGTCAACCTTCAAATATCTACACAACTTGTAGACAGTTGGTCAATAATACTGGCGGGCGTACCATTCATATTTTCAGCCGCCCTCTAAATACTCTTCCCCTTCTTGGTATCAGCTGTCCCCTTCACCGGAACCACCAGGGGGAACATCACCCTCCATGACAAATATGACGACGATAGAGCTAAAGTGACAAGTGCGGCAATATACAACAATAATTAAACACAAGTAAAACCCTTTAATAAAGTGTATGTTGTTTAGTCCTCGTGAGATCCAGGGCTATGGTATAAATATTATCATAAGCACAAACTCATAAGAGAAATATTACTAACAGTGTGTAATTTTTGTTTTTGTATTCGGTGGAAACCATTCCAACATGAGTCAACTGAGTCTAACCGCACTTAAACTGCGTCCAATTTCCATTCCATCTGAAGCAAACTCAATCTTATCCAACTAAACTGAATCTAAGTTAAATTCTAACCTAAGCCACACCAGCCGAGATAGAGTCATCACCGCCTACCCAGCGCGGTTAATCTCCCAACATTAGCTGTGGATAATCAGACGGTAAAAAGACAGGAATAAAAACGCTCTTCCCGCCTGACACGTCTACCCTGCCTGCGGTGCGTGAAGCCTCCGGGGGATTGGTCAGGTCCCGAACCAGCCAACCAATCACGCATGAAATCCCACAACTCGCTAATTGTGGCTGCCCGGTAATTGGCCCTTGGGGACTAGTTACGACTAATGGCACAAGCTGTCTGTTGGGTGACAGTGTGAGGGTGCAGAGCGGCCAGGACACCTCGGTTGGTATGTTAGCGACCGCAGAACGTTGACTACAGTGAACCAGACTGCAAGGAAAGCGTTGACCATGGGAAAGTTGGACCATGGGAACGTTGGAACATAGGTAAATTGGACCACGGAAATGTTGGACTACGAGAACGTTGGTCCCAGGGAACGTTGAACCATGGGCAAGTTTAGACCAAGGGAACGTAAGACCATGGGAACGGGAAAGTTGACCGAGAGAAACATTGGATCGCTTAACCACACGCTTCATTATGTACGGTCTATTTAAGTTATCTATTTACATGTCATTATATCTGTGCTAACTTTATGCGTGGAGGGATGTAACAAGGTGAATAGAATCCTCAAGGAAAGGAGGAATTTAAATGATAGAGATATGAGACACACACACACACACACCCCACCCATGCATACACAGAAACAGACACACACACACACACCCCACACAGACTACACCCCCACACAGACACGCATACACACACATACACACACTGGAACATATATTCTCTCTGTTATAAATTACCATGAAATCAAGTTTTTGAAGAGTAAATGTTATCCTGCCGAAACGTATAAAACTGATATAACACGAGTTTGGTTTAATTCTTGTGGGGGTTTAAGGTTTGATTGGTTAAGTCTATTGAGTTATTATTATTATTAAGGTAGAATAATTTTAATTTTAATTAGTGGAGCAAAGGTTCTTTATTGGTCGACTGTTAATGTATATATAGACCGATACCTCTTCATTGTGAGGGTTAACAAGCCATTACTACCACTACCACCACTACTATTACTTACTACCACCACTACCACCACTACTATTACTTACTACCACCACTACCACCAACACCACCACCACTAACACCACAATCCATCTTCCGCCCACTATCACCCACCTTCCGGCCACTACCACCCACATTTTTCCCACTACCACCCACCTTCCACCCACTACCACCACCACCCCATCTTCCATCTGTGGAACTACGAAGTGAGGTAGTGTGGCTATGAAACAAAATTTATGTAGTGCCAATACAGGCTATTACGAGTGATCCATCAGACTCGCACACCCACATCCAGCAGGACCTATTAAAACTGCCTAGGACCTCCCACCCACACTCCTACACCCACTCTTACAGGACCTCCAGCACCCACACACGCACCCACAGGACCCATCGTGTAGGACCTTCGACTCTCCCCCCCCCCTTCCCTCCCTCCTGTAAGACCTATCAAAACTGTGCAGGACCTCTAGGACACCAGAGAGTCGTAAGGACAAAATATAGTCCCAATTGTACCATTCTTTTCCCTTATGGCCAACACGTCACACCTGGGTAAAGCTGTGATGTCACGGCCGTATATACAAGGTGAGTTATATACCGAGTAGACATCTTCCCTCTCAGAAAAAAACCCACCCGGTCAAAACCCCACCCGGACAAAACCCCACCCGGACAAAACCCCACCCGGTCAAAACCCCACCCGGTCAAAACCCCATCCGATCCAAATTCCACGCAAACAAAATCCAATAATACGATTATTTCCACTGGACAATATTCTATTCCACAGTTTCCTAATGGACAAAATCCCGATAGACAAATTCCCGGAGGACAAAATCCCGACACTAAATTAATAATAGAAGAAATCAAATCTGACAAACTGAAATTATTCCTTGCTAGGTAAATATAACCTCCAGGTCACTATTATCTCCAGGTCACCATTATCTCCAGATCACCATTATTTCCAGGTCACTATTATCTCCATGTCCCTATTATCTCCATGTCCCTATTATCTCCATGTCCCTATTATCTCTAGTTGTGAGTTCCTGATTATTATTTAATTATTTCATTAAACCCCAACACCTATACAATATATCAACGACTCTTAAACACACACAGTCTGTTTTCTATTTCCATTTTCTTTCAAGAGTCTGATAATAGTCCCCAATACTTAATAGACCCACCATGCGATTATAAGACTCCAACACTTAAAAATCTCAATGTCAGTATTATTGTTGTTGGTCACTTTTGTATTTGTATTATTTTGGCTAAATGTATTGCTTTAGTTTCAATTTCAGGTCTGTTTAGCCATGTAAGGTCGCTTGCACTTATACCTGGTACACTGGATGGTATATTTTGTAAGATGTGGCAACTGTGTTTTTTACATCGTACTAAAATTTCTGAATGTCCTAAAGGAACTTGTGACTCAGGGGCAGACGTGTGAATATTTTATATGAGAGTCTGTATTAGTCTGGGGCACTACTGATGCCAACCTCCAATCGTTTCTGGATAGTTTTCATCTCCAATACTTCAGATATGACTCTTCATTCCTACTAATATTGATACTATTACTACTACTATTACTACTTTTGTTTCTGTTGTTGCTATTAATACTGTTTCTATTTCTCCTCCCTTTCCTCCTCCTGTTGTTGTTATTATCATCATTACAAACCACTACAACTATTATTACTACTATTGCTACTACTGTACTACAACTAATATTACAGACTACAACTATTGCTACTACTATTACTACCACTTGGATTTTAGGAAGCTTCGAGTACTTTGAGGGTTAGTGAACTCTTCTCTCTGACCAGGTGAGACAAGGTGAAGGTGATTAGATCCACAATTCTTTTG